TAGTGAGAAGAGGAAATGAAATTTGGGTCAGCAGTTAACATTGTTTATATAATGTTACAGTTTGGATCTTGACCATGCCCCAAAGGCCTGTGTGTTAAAGTCTTGTTCCCTATCTGTGGTCACCACTGGGAGGTGGTGGGATCATTAGGAGGCAGGGCTTAGAGGGAGGAAGTTAGGTCACTGGAGGCATGTCCTTGGGAGGGATATCAGGACCCCAGTTCCTTTCTCGCTCCCTCCCTCCCCTCGCCTCTCTCTCTTCCTTTCTCTCTCTCTCTCTCTCTCTCTCTCTCTCTCTCCCTCGTTCCTCCCTGGACATTGTGAGGGTGAGCAACTTTGTACTACCACATGTTCCCCATCAAGATGTCAGGCTCTCAGTAGAACTTTGGGAAAAAGATACTCTAAACACTGGCATACAGGTAGCTCAGGTTCAGAAAGGTTGAACAACTTGCCCAGGGTCACACAGCTAACAAAGGGAGGAGCTGAGACTTGAGGTCTGGCCTGATTGAAAAAAAAACTGAGCCCTGACCTGACATAGGCTGTCCATCAGAGCTAGGTTCTTAGACCAGCCCCGCCTCCCACAATCCCAGGATATTTAAAGACAGTGAGCCACCTGGCAGGGATAGGTGTCAGGGAGGTAGCCTCAAGGAGCCAGTCCCTCCTTCCTGCTTCCCTGACACCTGGAATCATGACCCCCTCTGGCCCCCTTCTGTCCCAATATCAAAGAAATGTCCACAGATTCCCGAGATGAGCCCAGGAGAAAGAACTTGGACTGGGGAATAGGAAAGCTGCCTTTGTGTCCATCACTAACTCGCTAACGTGAACCTAAGAAGTGTCTCCCTTCCCAGCCTCAGTGTCCCCATCTGCAGAAGGAGTTAATTGGACTCAGTGATCTCTGAAGGCAATTCTAGTGGTAGTTGTCTCAGGTTCCAAGGTCTCTCCACTCCCTTGCGGTGGCTTCACATTTCTTGCCCGCGGGAAGAGCTGGGGCAAGTTGCTACAGTTCTGGGCTCTGTGCAGCAGAGGCACGCTCCCAGCCTGGGAGCAGGCTGCTTCGCCCCAGCAAGCTGAGCAAATCCCTGAGAACAAAAGGGGGAGAGGAACTGAAGAGGGAGCATGGATTGGGCGAGGATTCCTTCCTGGTGCAGTGATTTTAACCCCTTCTGCAACAGCAGGAGCACAGGGTGAGGTTCAGGAAAGGAGGTGGAAAACTATCCCAAGCATGGGTGGCCCTCCGGGAACAGCTGGGGGGCATGCCAGGGAGCGGCCACAACTGGAGACACCATTCATCTTTCATAGACCCAGGTTTAGGGCACCAGAGCTCCAAAGGAGCCCCACTCTGTCATTTTGCCGGTTAGGAAGTTGAGAACCAGAGACTTGGGAAGGGACTTGCCCAAGATCACACAGCCTCAGCCTAACGGGAAGGAATCTGGAGTAGCACAGCACCAGACCCACAGATGGTTCAATGTGTTGAGGGGAAGAAATGGGGGCTCCTTGTCTAGTGTTCCTTACTCTATATTGTATTGCCTTTTGGAATTCTTAAATCAAAGTTTCCATCCCCAAATTAGAAGTAGACTGTTGAGGCCTGTCCGTAAATTCCTCACTTGAATCTATAGTGACTAATTTTCTCAGGACTGTGGGATCAAACCCTCCATGGCTATTAAAAATTTAACACAAAGCCCCAGCGCCCCAGGGCTGGGCTTTCTTGTTAGCCCCAGAACAAGGCGAAGCCTGCAAAGTTAGCTAGACAGGGCAAGAAGGCATGGGCTGGAGTCCCTTCCCTGGGAAGCTTTCTGATACTTCTTCTCTGGGAGGATCCAGGAGGGACCTTCTGACCAAGGAATGTCTTTTGCCCGCACCAACCCTAATTGTAGACAAAGTGAGAGGTCCCCCCGACCCACACCAGCCAAGAGAAATCTGGATTAATATTGCTCTCTCACTCGGGTACCCCTGCCCCTGATAATCTCCTACACCCAGTTGTAATTCTACCTTTAATGTAAAACAGAGGGGCCTCCCAAAGGCTCTAAATAAATGTATGTGTGACCCACAAGGAAAGAAGCAGGGGGTGGAGGGAACTATTAATGAAATTTAATCAATAAGAATATTTCAATGTGGGAAAGCACCAGGATGCATCATGATTGGGAGCCTGCAGCCAGTGAGGGTGCAGAGATCCAATAAAGAGGGCTCAGGGTGACCAGGGAACAGTGTTGGGTGATGAGCCAGCTCTCTCACCTTCTGGCAGGGGTGCCTTGTGGAACTGGTAGGACTTTCAGTGAGCATGTGGCTGAGGATCCCAGGAATGCCTTCTTGGAAGGTCCTCCTGGCCTTCCTGGGAGGTCCCTCAGGGAGATACAAGCTCCAGGGACAACTCAGGGACTATTGTGAGTGCTACCGAGTGCCTGGCATTGAGCTAAGCACTTAGGACAAAGTGGCAAAGCCACACAGTTCCTACCCTCGAAGACGATGACAGGTGAGAATACAGGGGTCACCTACTCTCCTGTCAGATATGCCTAAACCCCAAGGCTGAATTTGGAAAACTAGCGCCCCACGGGGATCACTGGGCCATGTCTGCCAGGCATCAGACACGGGCTAACAGTGTCCCAGAGGTCTCTCCTTCCCTCACAAGCACATCCAATCCACAGGGAGTTCTCTTCTACCTTCCAGACACACACACTGAATCTGTCCCCTTCCTCCAGCCTCTCTGTCCTCTAACCAGCCATTGCCCTTTCTATCCTAGATGCTGTGTCCCTAGTGCTCTCCCCAGGGAGCAGCCAGGATGAAGGGCCCTAAGATGTAAGTCACTCTCCAAGCACTTCCCATGGCCCTCAGCAAGAAGCACACTCTACCACGGCTCCTGGACCAGGTCTTCATCATCTCCTCTGTCCCTAGACATCCTCCCACCCTGCTATATGCAGGCCTCTGTCCACTCCCAGAAGATGCTCTTGTTCTTTTCTCTGGGCCTCTGCAATTGCTGCTCCTTTTTGGATCATTTGTCCCCAGCTTCCCATCATCAGGTCTCAATCCAAGTCCCTTCCTCAAAGAGGCCCTCCTTCCTCTCACAAAGCAAAGCCTCATCTCTCCCTCCCCACCATAATCCCTCTTTTTATCTTGTCAATAACAGAAATCATCTTACTTATTTGTGTCTGTGTTTTGTGCCTTTCAATCTCCTCCCACTGTGCCCCTTGAGGACAGAGTTTCTGTCTTATTTCTTTGTCACTACCTGGCACCCAGAACTCAAGGCTCAGGGGATCTCTAAAAAGCTCTGTGGCCTCATCAAATGGTTAGAGCACAATACTCAGGAAATGTTTGAAAAGGAATGCAGAACATCAATAAATCCACTCATTTATCCATGTGGAAATGGAGATCCAAAGAGAAAGCAGAACTTGCTCAAATGGAGACAAGCCCCCATCCAGCACACAGCTGATACAGAGCAGATGAGAAGGGAAGCCACACCAAGACAGGGCACAGCTACTGCTAAGGGCCCAAGGCAGGACCTTCCCAGGAGAGCAGGTGGAGGGGAGAGGAACTAGAGCAAACCAAGGAGGAGAGGGTGTGAGGAGAGGTGTCCTGCAGACAGCGGCCAGGCCAGGCATGTAGCTTGGACTTCATCCCCCCCGACCCGGAGTGATACTTGCTCTGGTGTAGAGAGCTCAGAGGGTCCCAGGTGGGCACCGCAAGAAGGAGGTTGAGCAAGTCCCATGGGGTGTGCTTTCCAGGACATCAAAGGCACTGCACACAGCAGCCGCCAAGTCTGAGCTCCATTACCACGTGACCAATGCGCCCCAAGCCCGCCCAGTTAGTGCCAGCTCAGCCTCCCTGCGCAATCCCTCCGCTGCGGGCTGACCACGTGCCAAAGAGCTGCAGAGTTAGTTACTCATGCCAAAGGCTTCGGACCAATTAAGTGTGCAAAGAGGGTGGTTAACGAGGAGTAAACAATCCAAATGCCCATAATTACGCCGAGGCTCCCATCTAAGACGTTTAAGCCGGGAGGTGGGGTTGGGGCGAGAGGGGGCAGGGCGTCTGCTGTTCTTTGTTCTGAGTGGTTCACCCCACTGAAATCTCCACCCAGCCCACCCTGTTCCACGCTCTGATATGGCTGGCTGCTCATTTCCATTCTCCCCAGTCCAGCTATTTTTATTTTATTTTTGGCAGAGGGGGCGAATGTGCCAGGAGGGGTCTAAGCGCTGGGATTACAGCAGAACAAAGTGAAGTCTCTATTTTTGTGGAGCTCACATTCTGAAGTCGAATAGTCAACTACTCCAGGTGCCAGGTGGTGATACATGCGATGAGAACATCCATACAGGGTGAAGGGAATAGGCAGTACTGGGGCTGTGGCTCATTCACGTGGTGTGTCTAGAGAAGGCCTGTCTGTGACTTCGCAAGAGAGAGACCTCACTGAAGGATGTCAGTATGTCAGCCAGGAAGACACCTGTGAGGACAGACATCCCATACAAAGGGGAGTGGCGGGTACAAAGGCCCGGGGATAGATACTTGCAGGAGTAGATCAGAGCAGATGGACAAGAGTCCTAATGGTTTTTTTGTTTGTTTGTTTTATTTATAGTAAAATTTATTTTCACTGATATTTCATTTTGCATAATCTCAAAGTAGGTCTTTGCTATAAAGTGAGAAAAGATCTCACATCTTAAATCTCACCACAAGACTTTTTCACACTGTTCTTCTGGGAGGGGAACAGGGCTTCAGGACCCCCAATGTTGACACCTTACATTTTACCCAGTGTGATTTCACTCATCACTGACACAGAATTGAACCTTAAAAGGGAGCCATTAAGCTCTTGTGCTATATCCTCACCACCTCTGAAGGGCTGTGATAGAAATGACTAATTTCCCCCCCCCCCCAATGAATTCGGTGTTGTTTTGGTTTGGTTTTTGAAGTAAAATGTCAAGAGTGTGTAAATGTGTTGCATTTCTTTCCCTTAATACCCTGAGAACAGTGCAAGTCTGGAGATTTTTCATTCTTCATGAGTCTGAGCTGGGATGTGACCCCTACGATTGGGGTCTATTCAACATACTAATTCCAAGTTTGGCAACCATCAGTAAACTGGCCCCTGTGATTAAACCCCCAGGCATAAACTTTCCAGAATGGTAGAAATTTACTCCCAATGATGCCATGGTCCAAGAAGTAGCTAGGAAAACCCAAAAGTTCCTGGGATCCTGAGACAGCTGATAAGCACCCAGGCCTGCTAAACTCCCAAAGAAGAGCCCAGCTCCCAGGGATTCCTCACTGCCTGCTTTCGCACAGCCAGTGATTCCACCAGTAGCAACCAGTGCTGTGTAGCCAAAGCCAAAATAATGTAAAGGCACCATGGGCCAGAGTTCTTCTGCATTGCTCTCTCACTTCGATCAGGAAGAGACTACACCAGGCACCTGCTCATGCGGGGCAGCTCTCGGGGAGACGAGGAGCACAAGCCACGGGGGAAAGCAACAGAGGTCTCTAATTTAGTTTTGAGACTCTTTGTGTTTATACTTCAGGAAAGAGGGGTGACAGATTCCAGGTAGACAGAACAGCACATCAGAGGCCTCTGCAGAGAGACAAGGGCTTTCTGTTTTGGGCACATTTTATCTTTTTGTCCTCAGAACAAGGCTGTAAGAGCAACAGGGTTGATTCCTTTTTCCATTTGACAACGGAAGATCTGAGGCTCTAGATCTTATAAGATGAGATTTAGATCTCATCTTACAGTTGAGCAAGGATCACACTGGAATATCCTGATTCAGGAGCAGAAATCTCTGGTCTGAACTTCCCTTTCAGGAGGATCAAAGGCTCATTCCTTCTGACACCATGCCATTGTGAGCTTCCAAGACAAGATCAGCTCTCAGGAAAGTTCTGACTTCATACAAATGAGAGGGTTTCTGTCCCTCTCAGGAAACTCTAAAAAGAGAAACTTAAAAAGGGATTTAAATTTTACGTCCTCTATTGCACTTCCCAAGGTCAGACACTGAATCACAGGGTTACAAAGCTCAAAGGCAAGCCAAGTACGGCCAGTTGCCAGGCATGATATGGAATGCTCTCCGGCGAGGCGGTTTAGAGGATGAACCAACCCCTAAGGACTACAGGAGTTCAACCAATATGGCAGGAAAAGCCAGCTCCCGTCTTTGGAAGGAACCTTTATAGAAACACTAAGAAATAGACTCATTTCTGTGTTAGGTTGTCTGAATATTTCTGGAATGAAATCCTTCTAAAACACAGGCCCTCCGGGATTTCTCCACAAGCCTCCTTCTTCCAGATAAAGAGTACCAGCTAAAAGTTGATAACAGAAGATAAAGGCAGGAATGCCATCCGGAGGACTGCCTTCCCTTATGAGGGCTGCTTATAATTTTTTTCCAGATCTGCCAAGACGTGACACTGGATTGGGTGCTGTGAACATTTAACAGAATTCCTGATGTTGTGATGGGCATTTTCATTATTCAGCTTCTAGTTGTCACCTCATCAAGTGAAAGTCACTAGATGGGCTGTTACCAATTTGAAAGGAATGTTTGGAAACATTTTGTATAAAACGTGGACTGTTAGGGCTGGGAGTGTAGCTCAGTGGTAGAGTGCTTACCTAGCATGCATGAGGCACTGGTTTCCATCCTCAGCACCACATAAAAACAAATAAATAATGTATTGTGTCCATCTACAACTAAAAAAGAATTTCATTATCCAAAGTACATGTATGAAGACACGAATTGGGTGTCAACCTACTTTATATACAAACAGAGGTATGAAAAATTGTTGTATATATATGTGTGATAAGAATTGTAATGCAAAAAAAAAAAAAAATCCCAAAGTACATGAATTGGCATGAACATACTTTATATACAAAGATATGAAAAATTGGGCTCTATATGTGTAATAAGAATTGTAATGCATTCTGCCATTGTGTATTTAAAAAAATAAAATCAATTAAAAAATGAGAAAAAAAAATAAAAATATGGACTTGTAAGAAACATCATATATTTTTCAGGGCTTGAGTAGGGAGCATCTCAAACTGTGAGGGAGATGTCTTGGATGCTTTCAGGAAAGGTCTCTCACCCAGAGAAGCCTATTGGGCTGCAGCTCAGTGGTAGAGTGCTTGTCTAGCATGCACAAGGCCCCGGGTTCGAACCCCAGCACCTCACACCAGTGAGTTTCTATCCCTTTCAGGAAACTGTAGAAAGAGAAACTTTAAAAGGGATTTAAATTTTATGTCCTATATTGCACTTCCCAAGGTCAGACACTGAAACACAGTGAATGATTTGCAATGGATCTTTCTCCCATGGGCCACTTGGTATGGCACTACACAGGGCTCGGACTTCCCAGTGTTAATGATATTGGCAAGCCACACAAGGAGGACACCTCAAATGGGCCTCAGGCCACAGTACAAAACTCCTGCACTTTGGCATGTGCAGTGGCTCCCAGGCCACTTTTACCTTATCAGAAATTAAAAACGAGGAGAGCATTTAAATATGTATGGAGTTATTTATTCTAAAAAATTCCAATAAGCTCATCACATGTTCACATCAAATTTTATGAAAAATATTTTTAAGCAAAAAAACAATGAGGAGAGTGGTCCTGTTTTGCATTTTTGCAAATCTCTTCACCAGACCCCCAGATTCTCCTAGCTGCAGGGTGTGGTACCATGAGCGCGTGGCCTTTGGAAATCTCAGAGCACTCCTGAGAAAAGGGCAGCAGAAAAACAAACATGGTCTTGGTTTTATCCTAAAAATTATTTTGAACTTGTGGACCATCCACATGGGTTCTGGGGTCCCCGGGGGTCCCCAGACCAGTCCATGAGAAGGCCTGGTATAGTAGTAAAGCCAAACTCTTAGGAGCTTTGGGCAAGTCATTGAACCACTTTGTGTCTCTTATTTTCTTGCCTATAAAATGCAGATAGGAGTAAGTGTCCTCACAAGACTCTTGTGGTAATAAAATGAGTAAAATGCCTGAAACTCAGGAAGCGCTTATAAAATCCTGACAGTTCCTCGAGAGTTCGCCATTCCCCCACCATGGGGTAGAGGTAGGCACATAAGGAAGTTTCCCAAATAAACGAGGCACATGTGAACGAACAGTCAGCTCATGCCAGAGGACTTTTCAGCCCGTCCTGGGGAAAGTCAGGAAATAGAAAATACACTAAGCAGCTCAGAGAGGCCAAGTGAGTCATCAAAGTCACTTAGCAAGTCCTGCCTGCAGCTGCTGCTATAGCTAAAAACGCCCCTTCTCCAGCTGCCCTCCTCTACACCTACGTCATACCAGCACACCTGGAATGGAGACTGTGGCACGGATTGTGTCCTCGTGTGAAATACACCCCACTTGCAGTCTCACGAGCCAAACCAAACCTATGGGAGACCTTAGTGTGAAACATCTGAGCTCTCTCCACCCTCCCCCGAGCTGTCCAGAAAGCACCTCTGGGTTGCAATTATGTATTAACTTTTGTGATTATTGGCTACTCTTCCAACTGAGTCAGGAGCCCTCTTGGTTCTTTTGTCTCCATAGCTGGAGCTCTACCAATATTTGGGTGTTTTTTTTTTTCTTCAGTTTTTCGGTGGACACAACATCTTTATTTTATGTGGTGCCGAGGATCGAACCCAGCACCCCGAGCATGCCAGGCGAGCATGTTACCGCTTGAGCCACATCCCCAGCCCGTCTCTACCAATATTTGGATGATTGTTGAAAGAAGGGATAAAACCATGTCTTTTCATTGATAAAAACAAAACAAAACAAAAAATGGACACTTGGACCATTTTCCTAAATAACGAGATACTTTGGGGATAGTGGACAGAGGAGGAGACAATGGCAAAATGGAAAATTAAGTAAAGACAGGGAGTTTGGAGAGTTGGGGCATTTGTGTACCCAGCACTCTTTCGACTTAGTTTTGAAAATAATAACAACGATGATAACCCCAGGAATGGTGGGCTGTTGTTGGGAGCTTCCTGGGTGACTGGTGTGGTGCTGAATGCTCTATGGGTATCATCCCCTTGAACGAGATAGGGTGTGGGGAAGCTGAGACCTGCCGCCAGCCAGTGGTACAGTGGTACAGTGGTCACAGTGGTGTGCTGGGAGCAAATGCGACTGGGAAGGTGAAAGGAGGCTGGGACAAGATGGCGCAGGTCGAGCCGCCAAGCAGGGGAGGAGGCCTGCATGCAGGTGAAAGAAGCCGCGGGCCCTGTGCTGGACGCGGTGTCTCATACTGGGCCCAGGTGAACCAAAGGAAAATTCTTCTATCTTCTGGAATCCAACACTGACTCTGGTACCAGGCTGAGAGCCAGAGCACATCTTGTTTGCAAAAGGAGACTTGTTGGCTCTGAGAGGTGAAGGTCTTGCCCAAGGTCACACACACAGCGGTTAGGGCCTAGCCTAGTCCTGCTCCCAACCCAGCGATCTGGCGCTCAGGCCAGGGCCCTTCTTCTGACTAACAGACTCACCACTTCCGCCCCAGCAGGCTCTCCTGTAGGGAGGGTAGCGTGGGAAGGTAGCAAAGCTGCAGCCTTTGCTCCTGCCATCCCCTCCCAGGGCAGGAAGGAGAGCGCCCAGCTGCAGGGGCATGACCAGGCCTGCAGTGAGCGCCTGAGGGATGGCCAAGGCCCCCCATCTCAGAACAAAGCCGCCTTAATGAGAGCGAATTACAGGGGCTCTGAGAATGGAAGGGGCCTTTGAAGGGTGCAGGGTAAGGGCTGGATGGGACTTGGGCCCTTCCCTGCCCTCTGTCCCGTGGTCCAACCCCCTTAACCAAGAAGCAAGCTGGCTCAGCATGGCACTGGCAGAGGCACGGATCAGGACCCCAGGGCTCCGGGCTGGGCTTCCACCCGCTTTTCTCCACTCCCATTTGCCATTACAAAAATGAAGATTTCCGATGAACAGGGAGCTCCGTCAAGTTCCCCAGCCATTCCAGAACCTGGGGTTTGAAGGAGATCTGGGGGAGGAGTTCCAGGGCACCCCAAACCTGCGTCATCGCTGTGAATCATCCTTGTGTCCAGTTCCCTTTTGTCCCTGCAGTGAGGGGGCAGATACAGTAGTAAGCACAGTGATATATTAAGTTCCTGGTGTGGTGCTAGCTTGGCCTTACAGGGCTGCCTACAGTACTTTAATCCCCGCGTTAGGCCCATGAGATGGGAATGAGCAGATTCCCCTTGGTATTGGTTTACAGCAGCCTCAGACCAGCAGCACCAACATCACCTAGAAAGTTCTGAGAGTAGCAAACTCTTGGTACTATTGCCTTAGAGCGAAAGATGCTTGGCCACTCCTACAGCAAGACAGTATCCTGGGCCTGCGGAAGGACCCGCACTCTGCCCACCAGTCTGTCCTGCCTGCATTTAGGATCCCCATGGCCCTTCCCCATGGGACCACTTAAGTGACTGTGGGCTGAGAGGGGTTGAAAAAAACTCAAAAAGAACAGTGTGTTCACTGCCATACTCTGTAATTGAAAAGATCCTAAACATGACTGGCATGGAGCTGGCTAATGAATCAGGGCGACCCATGTCATATAACACTGTGTAGCTTTTTATAGCAAAAGAGTGGGAGAGGTTTTTACATACATAATGCAGTGGTTTCTACGGCAGAGTATGAAGAAGTAAAAGGCAAAGCACAGAACAATAAATAGAGGAAACAATCATTTGAGTAAAAACGGGGAGCATATATAAACAGATTTGTTCACACACACACACACACACACACACACACACACACACAATCTGAAAGTCAAGAACCAACAGCATAGAGATTCCCTGGAGGTGACTGGGGAACAGGGATGGGAGGGGGACTTCTCACAAGTGCTTTGTACTTTTCATAATGAGTTGCCTCCTTAAATGACAGGGCACAGCTAAAATTTTTAAAAAGATGAAGAAAGGGTGCAACGGAGAACTAAGAGGAGGGAGAGATGAGGACCAGAAAGCTTGTCTGCCTTTCCATCACCCATCTCTCCACCTCTCCATCCCTCCTTCTTGCTCTCTTTAAATCCTAGGGTTAAGGATTAAGTAATGAATGCTATCTGGCAGCTGTGCTAAATTCCTTACATACCTTATCTCCTTTAACCTCCTTCAGGTTGTTACTATTATTATGCTTGTTTGTTGACATGAAAACAAAGGCACAGAAAGGTTAAGTGACTTTCTCTGAGTCACAGAGCTAGTTAGTGGCAGGACTCAGATTTCAACTAAGACACATGTGACCCCAGAGCTCAAGTGCTAAATCACTATACTACTAATATATAGGGGTTCACTGAATCCTCCCAACTCCCTTTGGAAAAGTGATGATTTCTCCCCTTATAAATAAAGAGAAGAAGCTCAGAGAAATTGTTGCGTGTCTAAATTCATACAGCTAAAGTGTGGCCCACCAGAAAGAGAATCTCTAGAAAAGATATACAAATGTTGAGATTTATGGTTTCAAGTTTCATGAGAGGAGAATCCTCTTTAAAAAGCTGGAGGTGAAACCAGGCATGGTGGCACATACCTGTAATCCCAGCAACTCAGGAGGCTGAGGCAGGAGGATTGAAGTTCAAAGCCAGCCTCAGCAACTTAGCGAGGCACTAAGCAGCTCAGCAAGATCCTGTCTCAAAATAAAAATGAAAGTATTAAAAATTTAAAAGGGCTGGGGATATGGCTCAGTGGTTAAACACCCCTGGGTTCAATCCATAGTACCCAAAATAGTAGTAGTAGTAGTAGTAGTAGTAAAGTGGCACCCCCTTTCTCCACTGAAAAGACTTAACTGGGCTTCTCCAAAAAAACTTCACCCAGTCTGATTTTAGGACTGTCAGCAAAAGAGTCTCTGCTAAAGAGTTCAATGTAGATAGACTTCCTATTTTCGTGTCACCCTGTTTTACTTGGCCACTGGCCGAGAAGATACCAGCACTCCAGGTGCTGGACACTCCCTTACTAGTTTTTCACAAACATAGCCAGTATAGTACTTTGAAGGAAATGCACAAACAAGTCCTCTGGCCTTGAGCTGGGCTTCACAGAGATGTGTACATTTTTAAGATAAGTTACCCACTGGGCTCCATGAACAGCTGGCAGGGGGAGGAAAGAAAGGGGAGAAGAAGCTCTCCCCTTCTCAGGTGTTGTCCTTGAAGAGTTAACTTGCCCAAAACAGTGGGGGGAAAAAGCTGCTTTTATGTGAACTTCTGCAGACTGTGAACTTCTGAGCCCCTCCCCTTACATGCTGGGTATAAAACTCTGAAACTCCCTGAACTCAGGGTTCAGGGATTAATTGATTACAGCAAAAGCTGTGCCCTCTGAACCTGGCTGCAGCCAAATAAAACTGTTTCCTGCTGTCTTCGGTGCCTGGCCTCGTTTGTCCCTACATCAGTAGTAGTAGTAATCATCATCATTATTATCATCATCTAGAAGTGAAAAGTACAATTTTCATGTTCATAAAGGCAGTCAGTGTCCACAGTATCTGCTACATGCTGAACACCCTAAATTTGGAAGGCAGAGAGGAATGAATGGACTGGAGCTATAGATCAATGGTAGAGTTCTTGCCTAGCATGCACAAGGGTCTGGGTTCAATCCCTTGTATGGTGTGCGCTGACCAGCAATCACCCCTGCAAGGGGCTTTATAATCAGCTGGACCAGACAGGCCAGTTGAAGTGTCAAGATGGGGAAGGACTTGTTTAAACTGGTTTCAGTAAAAAGTTCTAAGCAGAATGGACACAGAGCAGATGTCTTTAAATAACCTACTTGCTTTGGGAATTGTCATTATTTCCTTCTGCCCCCCTAACAGGGATAGAAAGGAACAGGAATTAGACATTTCGATGGAGGTGGGAGTAATATCCATCTCAAATTTAAGTTCAATGAGGAGGAGGGTCTTTCAGCAGCTGTTAGAGGTAACAGAGAGGTAGTAAATGCAAACACAAAGACCTTGAGGCAGGGGCTGGGTTTGCAGATCAGTGGTAGAGTGCTTGCCTAGCACATGTGAGGTATTGGGTTCAATCCTCAGCACCACATAAAATAAAGGTATTTTGTCCATCTACAACTAAAAATATTTTTAAAAAAAGACCCTGAGGAAGCAGCTGAGACAGATGAAAGGCCCCTGGATTAGAATTTGGGGGAACCTGGGTTATAGTCTTAGTTCTGCTTCTTACTAGTTGGGTGGTGTGAGCAAGTCACTTCACCTCTTTGAACCTCTGTGTCTTCATCTATAAATAGGAGGGCCATTATGGGACCCAAATGAGAGTGTATAAGAAAACATGTGTTTAAACATGGACAGCACATGCTTGTCATCCCAACAATTCAGGAGGCTGAGGCAGGGGGATCACAAGTTTGAGGCTACCCTCAGCAACTTTGCAAGACCCTGTCTCAAAATAAAAAATAAAAAAGGACTGGGGATGTAGCTCAGTGGTAAAGCACCCCTGGTTCAATCCCAAGTACCAAAAGGAAAGAAAGAAAAGAAAGAAAGAAAGGAAGGAAGGAAGAAAGAGAAAGAAAGAAAGAAAATGGGGCTGGGATGTGGCTCAAGCCGTATCGCGCTCGCCTGGCATGCGTGTGGCCCGGGTTCGATCCTCAGCACCACATACCAACAAAGATGTTGTGTCCGCTGAAAACTAATAAATAAGCATTAAAAAAATTAAAAAAAAAAGAAAGAAAGAAAGAAGGAAAGAGAGAGGGAAAGAGAAGGGGAAAGGGAGGTAGATAACTGTTAACATGGAGAGTTCTTAAAGACATGCAACTGGTGACAAATACTGCATGCTTTTTTATCCTAATTTGTTATATATGACAGCAGAATGCATTACAATTCATAGTACACATATAGAGCACAATTTTTCATGTCTCTGGTTGTACACAAAGTAGAGTCACACCATTCGTGTCTTTATACATGTACTTAGGGTAATGATGTCCATCTCACTCCACCATCTTTCCTACCCCCTGCCCCTCCCTTCCTTCCCTCCCTTTTGTCCTATCTAGAGTTCGTCTAATCCTCCCATGCTCCCCCTCCCAACCCCATTATGAATCAGCCTCCTTAAATCAGAGAAAACATTCAGCATTTGGTTTTTGGGGATTGGTTAACTTCACTTAGCATGATATTCTCCAACTCCATTCTGTAAATGCCATGATTCTATTCTCTTTTATTGCTGAGTAATATTCCATTGTGTATATAGGCCACATTGTTTTTTTATCCATTCATCTACTGAAGGGCATCTAGGTTGGCTCCACAGTTTAACCATTGTGAATTGTGCTGCTATTTAATTCCAAATCCATGTGGCCTTGTCTGGCTTATTGGAGGGAAATTAACTATCTCCACTTCTTTTGAGGCTTTTGCTGACCTCCTTTCCCCCAGGGCAGCACTTAGCACATTCCTTGATGAAGTGTCTGCCTCCCTCCCTAGCTGCTAATTGAGGGCAGTAGCCATGCAGCATTCATTACTTAATCCTTAAGCATAGGACACAGAAGTAATGAGGGAGGGAAGGGAGGGAGGGAAGGAAGGGTGAAGGGGTGGACAGATGGGTGATGGACAGATGGATGGAGGGATGGAGGGATGGATGGACAGGCCATTGGATGTTTTTCAGAATGTGGAGAAAAGATCAGACTGATTCTGATAAGTCAACTTCTTAGAGAAGATACATCTAGACAAAGTCTCAAAGGGTGGGTGAGAGTTCAGCAGGGTAAGAACCAGAGGTTAGAGAGGAGAGAGGGGTATGGAGAGGTGGAACAGCCTGAGCTACTGCATAGGCAAGAAAGTTCAAGATTCGGTGGCAATGTCAGTCTGCAGTTGACAGAGCACCAAGAGGGCTGTGGCCAAGAGGCAGCTCAAAGGTGGGCTTGAACCAGGCTGCTGCAGGCTCGACAGTTAAGTAAAAGTGTCTGGATTCCTCCATCCTGGAGGCAATGGGGCGCCATGGGAGGTTGTGTAAGAAAGGAGTGACCTGCTCTGCCTGGGGCTTGCTGCCAGCCTGGGAAAGGCAGGCAGCAGGCCAGGGCCAAGCTCTGGGAGAAGCCTCCCACCTGCTGTTCTCTGCCAGGCCTTTCCCAAGAACTTTGCTTAGGGCCCAGGGAAATGTGGGAGCCCGTGGCTCCTCCTGCAGGGAAGGCATCCCCCAAAGGCTTCTTATTGGATGGATGGGACACCAAGCCTTCCAGGCCTGCCCCTGGGACATAAGACCATCCAACAAGAATTACTGTCTACAAACCACAATGCACGCTCAAGAGGTCTGCCCCCGATTGCCAGGAAATACCTTGGTTCTGGGTTCAAGTCTCGACTCTTCCACAGTGACCACAGAGCCTGGTCTGGTCCCCACCCCAGTATGACAGGATCTGCATTGAGCAACTCCAGGAAGGCACTTTCACATGGGATACAGTGTAGTGATGCGTCCAGCATTGTGCAACACAGTGGCCCTGCCTCTGAGCTTAGTGTCCTCAGCTGTACAAAAGGAGGATGAAGATTGATGGGGATCAACCCTGAAGGCCATTCCAAGTCTCAGCCCGTAGCAGACGGAGCAGAGGGAGGCTTTGGGGAGGAAGGAGATAGAGACCCAGGACTTTGTCTAAAGACAAAGATAGTGCTAGAGAAGGCTGGGGGCTGGGGGATGGCCAAACCCCCAAAGCAATGGTGACTCCTTGCCCTCAGAGTCAGAGGCATCTCTACTCGTCTTTCCAACCATACACAACCTAGCCTTCCCAGCCAGGTTTCCCACATGGGTAAATAGAAGAGCTGAGTATGGTGGTGCACACCTGTAATCTCAGTGACTTGGGAGGCTGGGGCAGAAGGATCGCAAGTTCAAGGATAGCCTGGGCAGCTTAGTGAGACACTGCCTCAAATAAAAGGGAGTGCGGGTTATAGCTCGGCTGTTGAGGGCCCCTGAGTTCAATCCTCAGTACTGCAGAAAAGAAGCAAAGCAAAGCAAAGCAAAACAAAAAAACAGGGGGAAGAAAACATATCCCTCATAGAGTCTTTGTGAGCATTTAAAAGAAATAATGCATGACAAGCACATAGCAGTGTGTTCAACCCAAAACCATAGCTAAATGAACTTTAGAGTCATCCCTATAATATCAATGTATCAGCACGTGGGTGTTCTCACCTTGAGCTACCGCAAGATCACAATAATGCCCATGCACAGATGGCCCCAGAGCAGAACTCTGATGATCACTTGAGCAGTGCTCCAAAGGGGAGCTGGGGTGGGGCTCAGTGGTAGAGAGTGCACATGCACCACGCCCTGGGTCCAATCCCCAGCACCATGAGCAAGCAACAAAGAAGTCCATGAAAAGGATTCTGAGGAGAGAGGAAGGGAAGAGCAGGGCACTTCCCTCCCCCCACACAGAAACAATGCAACCTTCTGATGAACCTCTGTCTCCAAAGGTGGCAACCCAAGGAATGTGGCCAACACTTTTAAGTTAAAGGAAAACTCTGACCCCAAAGTTTCAGGCAGGACAATGCACAGATGGATTATCTTCCTGGTTCCCCCACGTCAGGCTTCATGGGTGGTGAACATGGCACCTGGTTCCTGGGTAGCTCCAGTCCAACTTTCCGTGGAAGGATGAGGAGGAGCCAGCTGGGAAGACTCAGGGCATGGGTGCTTTGCTGACTATCCGCTGGAAGCCAAGAGCATCCTGAAGAACAGAATCCAGCTCTGCCCCACCCTGCCCTGCCCAGGTGGGTGGGAAGGAAGGAGGGTCTCAATGTGGGCACCAGAGGCAGAGAGGGGAGCTCCCTCAGGACTCAGGAGACCCTTACCATATGAAAACCAGTGAGCAAAATTTACCAGAGATGGCTTCTCAGACTTTTCTGTATTTCCAAATTTTATGTGTTTCTTACATCGTTAGAAAAAAAATAACATTAAAAAACAAATATTAGGTTGATATAGCCTAGATGTCCATCAACAGATGATGGAAGAAGAAAATGTAGCACATATACACAATGGAGTCAGCCATAAAGAAGAATGAAATTATGTCATTTTCATGCAAATGGATGCCAAACTCAGAAAGTCGAGGGTTGTACGTTTTCTCTAATACGTGAAAGCCAGAGAGGAAAGGGGAGGGGATGTCGTTGCCATGGGAATCATCTTGTGAAAGTGGGAGACCAGTAGAGTAGAAGAAAGGGGCTAAGAGAAGGGAGGGTAGGGAAGGGGGAAATTCTGGGGAATAATATCAGCCAAATCATCATGGTATTTTGTGCGCATGTATGAACATGTAACCATTGATCCCACTATTGTGTGTAACTGTAATATAGTTATAAAAATATTGAAAAAAAACTACTAGGTTGGTCTGAAATGCAAAACACATCGTCTCTAGGTCTGACCTTGTCACCAACTCTCTTATAATGTTAAACAAGCCACTTCCTCTCTGGGCCTCAATTTCCCCAGTTTGTACAGTAAGATGAGGTTTCCTTCCTGTTCTGACAGTCTGTACCTTTCAAATCAGTGCCATCCTAACAATGGTGGGATTATAAATGCCTTGGTCATTTGCTTATCATTTCTCTACTTTCCATTCCTAAAAATTTTTCTGGCTGAGTATGGTGGCACATGACTTAATCCCAGCTCTCTGGGATGCTGAGCCAGGAGGATCTCTTGAGCCCAGGAGTTTGAAGCCAGCCTGGGCAATACAGTGAGACCCTGTCTCAAAAAGAACTTTTTTCCCTAACACTTTTTAAAGCAGGGTGCACTGGTAAGAAGGCCACAACCTTTACTGATGTATTTTAATTGGGGAGAGAGTCAGCCACTAGAAAACCACCATCTCTCCTCCCTTGTAGGAAGCAAGACCCATACTGCAGGCTGTACTAATAATGAAGGCTGGTATAGAGGGACCCTTCACTCCAACAGTCCCCCTGTGGGTCACCTGTGTCATTCTGTGATTCCACAAATCAGCAGCCTTAGAATTCCACAAAACCAGGGTTGATCTGTTTCACAAAGACTATCTGGTATCCAATTGCCTCTCCTACAAAGTAGCCTCAGGACCAAGAAGAAAAGCAGGTACCAAGATCACACAGGTCACTGGTATTCAAGTGGACACATCTAAAACCCATGAAGTCTCAGATGCCATTTGTTTAATAACTTTATATATTATTAAAATTTCAAATTTATATAAAAAATTGATGGTACAGAGAATTCCCATAACCCCTTACCCAGACCCACCATTTATTTCCATCTTGCCCTAAATCTATTTCCTAAAGTAAGAACATTCCCTTATAAAAAACCACAGTAAAATGATCAAAATCAGAGAATTGAACTTGGATGCAATGCCATTATGGAATCCACAGTGCTTATTCAAATTTCCCCACTGTCCCCCAAAGAGTAAATTATTACTGTTAGAGTAAACTTACTATCTCTTCACCCCACCTCACACCTGTGATTATTTTTTCCCACCACTTCTGTGCCCAGGCACCCCTCCTACCCACTCCCGAATGTGAATAACCTTGAATGGTGTCCCCCCGTCACACTCACACACGTTCCTCTTGATGCCTGTTTCCACTGCCCTCGTCACTCTAGCTCACCTGGCCCAGACCAGACAGGACAGGAAACTGCTGTTATGAGGAGCACTGAAGTCCTCCTGTTTAGGAGGACACCTAACCTCTGCCTCCAACACATCCAGGTGGAGGAGATGGGTACAAAGTCCCATGGGGCTGCCCGCCAGCCCTCAGTCATGCTCTCTGACCACCCAGTCCTGTAAGGGCAGGGAACACACACTCCCATGTGGTTTACTCGTGAGGCATCTGTAACTTGGAAAGGGCAAGAAGAAACTTTATGGGTCAAAAATAGTTCCAGGCTAGTAGAATGCTTTTTTCTTTTTAAAAATTTCTATAGAAATTGTTCTGTCTGGGTCTGGCTATGTGGTTGTGGACATGCATTCAAATCCACCCAAATGAACTCGACAGATGTTACCCTTCACTCTGTACTACAACAAACCTCAATAAACAGCCATGTGTGTCAGAGTGTGTGAGCATTGTGAAGAATCCACAGTGTGGAACAAGATGCACTGGAAAAAAACCTGTGAGCTCCAAGATAAACATGTTAAGACCCTGGTGTTGTGCTTCCTGCCTAGGCTAGTTCATGCCCACCACTTAGTAGACACTGAATTAATACTGTTGATAAACAGATGAATTCATGTAATGTTGTGACTATGTCTCATAACATGAAAAGGTTTTTATGATCTCTTGCTATATATCATAAAAGGCTAGAGAAGAGTTAAGAATGATCCCATTTCATTTCAGCCAGGCGTGGTGATACACGCTTGTAATCCTGGTGACTCAGGAGGCTGAGGCAGGAGAATTGCAAGTTCAAAGCCAGCTGCAGCAACTTAGCAAGGCCCTCAGCAACTTAGTGAGAACCTGTCTCAATTTTTTCAAAAATTAAAATAAAATAAAAAGATCTGGGGATGTAATGCTGTGGTAAGCATCCCTGGGATTAAGGGGGAAAAAATGGTCCCTATGTTTTTGTAAATATTTGTGTTCATTTTTTAATATCTAATTTAGAAGAACCTATCAATATCCTAATAAAGTTTTTAAAGGTGAAAATATGGGCTTTTTTTAAATTCTTTTTTCTACTTTTCTTGTACTTAAAAATGTTTTCCATAGCAAATATAAATTGTTGGGGTGAAAAATGCTAATACTTTTTTTCAAAAAATTATCAATTAAAAGCTGCAGGGACATAGTACCAGGTCCAGAGAACTGCAGGACCAATTTGTGAGTGTGTACAGTGGGCTAATAGTATACAGTGTGTCCCAAACTTATCTGACCAGAGACGCTTTTGGGAAATGCTCTAAAAAAAAAAAAAAAAAAACAGAAGGAGCCTGGATCTCCCATAATTGCATGAAGTAATCAGATCAGCATGGAGTTGCCTATGCCCAAACTTCTCTTGCACAGAAGAAAAACCAACCCTGTATATGTCTAGTGCAAACTAAACTTATTTGTCTTTTTAACAATGCAGTTGAATTGCATTCCAGTTGGTGCCGGAGCTTTGCACAGAGCTGGACACTTAAAAAGTGGTCAGAGGCTGTTAATTGCTATTATTTTCAGTTCTTCACCAGGGTGCCAGGATCTCATGCTCCAAAGAAGCCGCTTCCCCAAGGTTTCCCCACAGGATTCCCGAGGTGGTACTGAGCACAAACCAGTTCCTCTGCTCTCTAAACTCCAGCCCAACGGGTTAAAGGCAGAGTCAAGTTCTGGGACTGGAAGCTTAATGCCTGGAAGAGATCCCAGGCTGGGCATGTCAGAACCCAAATGCATGGAGGCTTGATGGATCCAGGGGAGCTGCTGAATCCACAGCTGCTCCCCTCGCTTGGGGAAGGCTCCTGTGGAGAGATGAAAACTACAAGATCTCTGAGCAAGAAGAGAACTCAAAAAGCAACCACTCCATCTCCACCCGAATGCATATTCCCCTCCATGGTGTCCCCCTCCATGTGGCCCTCTGACCACTGCCTGAGCATACCAGGGGTGGATGCTCACTACTTCCCCAGGCAGCTTGTTCCTTCTTCCAGTGGCTCTAAAGAAAGTTCTTCCTGGTGTCCAACTTTGGCTTCCATCCTCTGACCCTAGTCTGCCCCCAGGACCACACAAAGTCACCCCCTCAGAATTTTCTAGGAGTAGGTGTTTCCACTTTATTAAAATAATCACAGTAATAGCTACCATTACAGTGTTATTTACCGGTGCTAGACACTTTACATGCCAGATTTCATTTAATCCTCACAATGGTTGCATGGCATTGAGATTACTGTTTTCCCCGTGTTATAGATGGGGCCTAGTTGGAATCTTCCAGTCATATGAGGAATACCTCTAAGTCTTAAGAGAAATGAAGGACGTTTCCAGAGATTGCTCAGCTGGGAAGAGGCAGATCTGATGCATAGAATTGTGACTTCACTCTGCTACTTTCTATGTACACCCACCTACACACACACACACACACACACACACACACACCTCACTAAGTCTTCCCCAGCAATATCCACAGTGGAAACCCTGCAATGCAGCATCAAAAATCCCCACGTGGTTCTGGAGGGGGTCAGGACCTTCTAGACAATCCTGCAAAACCCTGCTCTGGTTTGTCTACCTCTCCCCTGCCATCAGCACCTCCTCATCCCTGGCTTCAGTTCCTTAGGTTGCTTTCCAAATATTCCCACTGTGGGCATGTGAGTATTTCATCTGTCCAGCAGGCTGTCCTCTTCTTATCCCAAATGACTCTGAGGGACACATCAACAGCAGGGTCTTCACCCAAACCACCACTGCAGGATCGTAACACAGGTTTGGTGGGCTTTCTCACTTCCCTGTTTTGAGATCAGGAGCCACAAGAGAATCCCTCAAACTGCTTGTGGTCAAAGTAAAATCTTTATCTGAAAGTTCTGTGGAGACCTGGGAAAAAGAAACTCCCTCTGTTCCATAAATTTGTAAATGGTGAGATATTATTAATTTGGAGATGTTCAGTCATCGTATCAGTTTCTGATTGCTGCAGTAACAAATGACCACAAACTTAGTGGCTTCAAACAGTGTAAACGTGTTACCTTATAGTTCTGGAGGTCAGAAATCCTAAAATCAGGGGACTGGCAGGGCCATGTTCCTTCTGTAAGCTCTCTGGATGCTTTGTTTTGGATGTATTCAGGACTTGATCCCCAGCCTGTGATGCTATTGGGAGATGATGGAACCTTTTAAAGGTGGGGCCTAGTTGGAATTTTCCAGTCATATGAGGCATACGTCTGCAGGGGCTGTTAGGACCATAGCACCTCCTCTGGTTCTCTGCATTCCAATCGCCATGAGCTGAATAGTTTCCTGTACTACACACTTCCTGCCATGATGTTCTGAAGTAATGTCAATGGGGCCAGACTACCAAAGACAGAAACCATGGAAATCATAAGACAAAATAAACCTTTCCTCCTAAGTCAGTTATCTCAGGTATTTTGTCACAGTAATGGAAAGCTATCCTAACATAATGAGAGAATCTATTTCCTTGATTTTTTCCAGCTTCCCGAGGCTATCTTCCTGCTTGTGCCCACAGTTCCTTCCTCCATCTTTAAGGCCAATAGGGCAGTACCTCCAAAGCTGTTCTCCCTCTTTTCCTCTCTATTTTTCACCTCTGCTTCTGTCACTGGGTCTCTTTCTTCTCTTCTGACCCTCCTACCCTCCTCTTACACAGATCCTTGTAATTACATTGGGGTCATCTGGATAATCCATGATAATCTCTTCATCTCAAAATCTGTAACTGAATCACTTTTGCCCTGTAAGGAAACACATTGACAGTTTGGGCATCAATGCATGGACGTCTTTGTGGGTCACTATTCAACCTGACATACCCCATTAATGTGGAGGAAGTTACTGACTACAGGAGAGAGACAGGCCAACCTGAAGAGAGAGCAAAACTTAAAGAGCCAGCCCCCTGAGAAAGGAACCTGAGTAATTGTTAATTGTGTGCACCAGCATTCACTTTTTGCTTAAGGGAATTTGATCTCAGTTTCTGTCACTTGCAATCAAATCGATTCTGCCTACTACACATTCCTACTGGTCAGAATTTTCCCAGCCAGACTTGGCTCTTTAAGGGCAGGTACTCTGCCTGAATGACCATGTTTCACCAACCCAGAATTGATGCTATTGTACAATAGGCACAAAGAGCAACAGAGTCTAAATAGAATCGGGATAACTGGAACTCAAGTGCTCTAGGGATGGATGGAATAAAGAGCATTGACTTGGGCTCAGGAGGCTTGGGTTTAACCTGAGCTCTGGAGGGAGGGACTCCAGGAACCCCATGCCCCATGGGTCTTCCCCAACTCCAACCATGCAAAGGACAGCCTGGGTGAGCACTAAGGTGGGATCCCACTCTAACCTTCTATGTTTTCTACTAATAACCCTGTTGGCAGAGACTGGGAACACCCCCGTTGCTCTGTGTCTCGATCACACACAAAGTCAGCACATCAGGAGGCAATAGGAAAGCTGGGCTTTTGTGGCATACAATCAGGAGCGATCACCCTACCCCTTGCCCATCTCCTTCTCATGCAGCTTTTGGCGGCAGAACAAAGACTTTGAGGAAAGCCAAGGGAGAGGGAAGGAAAAGAAGCACCTCTCTGCCCCAGGTGTTAAAAAAAATTATACACAGGCTAGGGGTGCAGCTCCGTGGTAGAGGGTTTGCTTAGCATGCACAGGTCCTGGATTTGATCCCCAGAACCATACACACACAAAAAAAAAAATTACATACAGATATACAGACATATGAAGCCCATCTACCAAAGCTATACCTGAGATTTCATCTCAAACTGGTTAAGAATGGCAGTCATCAAGAATACAAGCAATAATAAGTGCCGGAGAGGATGGGAAGAAAAAGGAACACTTTCACACTGTTGGTGGGACTGTAAATTAGTTCAACCACTATGGAAATCACTATGGGGTTCCTCGAAAGGCTAGGCATGGATCTACCTTGTGACCCAGCTATACCACTCCTCAGTACGTACCCTGAAAAATTAAAGTCATGCTACTACAGTGATACTTGCATATCCATGTGTATAGCAGCACCATTCACAATAGCCAAACTCTGGGACCAGCCTAGGTGCCCTGCAACAGATGTATGGATACAGGTAATGGGGTCTATACACAGTGA